TTTGGGAATCAAACTGACCCCTAAGTTATCAGACCTTTACGCAGCTAACTATCTTCCGATGCTAAACCACCTTTCGGCCCTTTTGACCAATGGGTCTTCCCTACCCCCCTCGCATGGCTAGGCAGAATAGCAGTTATCAAAATGTCAATCCTCCCAAAAATCCTATATCTATTCAGAGTCCTCCCAGTCCCAGTCCCCCCTCACTACATCCGCACACTGCAGTGTCGCATTTTTTCCTATGTATGGGGCAAAACTCGTCCTCGTATACCACGCTCCACCCTATACCATTCTAAGCTCAATGGTGGTCTAGGCTTACCAGACATCAGCAAATACTATCAAGCAGCGCATTTAGCCCAATTACCTAAATATCATGCAACCTTTGAAATCCCACAATGGGTGGCACTAGAGTCGATAGAATGTGACCCCTTATCTACAGCTAACTTACTCTGGTTGAGGGCCAATAGACCGCCGCCGCTCTCTATAACCAACCCCATCACTTCTCATTTTTTATCCATGTGGGACAGGCTGAAAACCCGATATCCCCTTCAATCACTACATAATCCCCTGCTTTCGTTCCTGCGAAACCCAGCTTTTCCCCCGGCCTGGCAGACACCCCTTTTATTCAAAGCCTGGTCCTCTGCTAATTTGCTCCGCACGCATCATTTCCTACAGAGGAATACGTTTAAATCCTTTGCCTCGCTGCGGGAAACGCATAACCTCTCAGCTTCCGAGATATTCAGATACTTGCAGCTACAACACTTTTACGCCCCCTATGCTACCACAACTAATCGGCCAGATGCCATGTCTCTCTTCGAACGAGCATGCTACAAAGACCCTCACAGACGTGGGCTTATCTCTTGCTTATATTCACTCTTCACAACCTCGATCACCACGTCCCCCCCCTTTGTATACCCATAAGTGGGAAGTGGATCTAGGCAAGAAACTTGACCTATGATTGGGATCACATTTGGGCCAACACAAAATCTTCATCACAGAACATTGTAGCACTGGAAACAAATTATAAAGTTTTTAACCCGCTGGTACTTGGTCCCAGCGAGAATCGCAAAATTTACCCCTAATTACTCTCCCAACTGTTTCAGAGGCTGCGCAGACCTAGGAACACACTACCATATGTGGTGGAACTGCCCAGTGGCCCAAGTCTTTTGGGATGAAATTTTCACCATGATATCTACACTTAGCACTATCACTCTACGTCCTGACCCAACAACAGCCCTACTCAATCGGTGCCCCCCTGGAGTTTCCAATTCACAATTCAAGCTTCTCATGCAAGTTACGACGGCAGCTAAACAAGTTATAGCGAAATCCTGGAAATCCTGCTCATGGAGTCACCGTTGCTGTTCCCCTTTCCCTCCCCTATCTTCCGCCCCCGTCTGACCCCCCTCCAAACTTCACCCTATTTCTTTTTTGCACTTGGGAGACAATACTCTGATTGGCAGGGACAATGATGTTATCTGTAGTCGACTTTTATATACCTGTTTCAGCTAGAATTATATAGACATCTGTAATGTGATCCTCATTAATTTTTTCTATGTCCTACTGCCACCTCATTGTCCAATGTACGCTAACAAAGTCTCCCTGTTTGTAACGTTTGTAACTTTATGGTTTATTGTTAATAAAATGTTTGAACAAGAAAAATTGTCGACATATAAGTGGTACCCCATATGGAAAAAGGATGACACCAAGTCTCAAATTATCTTGCCACTACTCCCCATGCTTGCTGGGGAGAAATTGTTTAAATGCAAGGCGACCAGAAAAACTAATGAGGGACTCATCAACACAGATGTTTTGCTGGGGAGTATAGACATCTGCAAATTTTTGGTTAAGGTGATTTCTGAGGGGCCGAATTTTGTGGAGTCGGTCAAATTCTGGGTTACCCCGAGGACGACAGAGTGTATAGTCATTGAAATACATAAATCGCATTATATTCTCATATCTACCGTATTTTTCGCTCCATAAGACGCACCTGACCATAAGACGCACCTAGGTTTTAGAGGCGAAAAACAAGAAAAAAAAATATTCTGAACCAATGGACTGCAGACACAGTACAGGGGAAGACAGAGACTGCGGACACAATACAGGAGATGACCAGAGACTGTGGACACAGTACAGGAGATGACCAGAGACTGTGGACACAGTGCAGGAGATGACCAGAGACTGCGGACACAGTGCAGGAGATGACCAGAGACTGCGGACACAGTGCAGGAGATGACCAGAGACTGCGGACACAGTGCAGGGGATGACCAGAGACTGCAGACAGTGCAGGGAATGACCAGAGGCTGCAGACAGTGCAGGGGATGACCAGAGACTGCAGACAGTTCAGGAGATGACCAGAGACTGCAGACAGTGCAGGGAATGACCAGAGACTGCAGACAGTGCAGGGGATGACCAGAGACTGCAGACAGTGCAGGGGATGACCAAAGACTGCAGACAGTGCAGGGGATGACCAGACACTGCAGACAGTGCAGGGGATGACCAGACACTGCAGACAGTGCAGGGGATGACCAGACACTGCAGACAGTGCAGGGGATGACCAGAGACTGCAGACAGTGCAGGGGATGACCAGAGACTGCAGACAGTGCAGGGGATGACCAGAGACTGCAGACAGTGCAGGGAATGACCAGACACTGCAGACAGTGCAGGGAATGACCAGAGACTGCAGACAGTGCAGGGAATGACCAGAGACTGCAGACAGTGCAGGGGATGACCAGAGACTGCAGACAGTGCAAGGGATGACCAGAGACTGCAGACAGTGCAGGGGATGACCAGAGACTGCGGACAGTGCAGGGAATGACCAGAGACTGCAGACAGTGCAGGGAATGACCAGACACTGCAGACAGTGCAGGGAATGACCAGAGACTGCTGACCTTTGGGGAGGGAGGGGGAGCGGGTACCTGAATTTGACAGGTACCCGCTCCCACTTCCGCGGAGTTATACTTCCCTCTTCTTCCCGGGCCGGCTTCTGTGACAGCCGGGTGCCCACTGCGCATGCGCGAGAAGCGCTGCTCTTTGTGAATGGCCTGGCGCCTTCTGGGACCTTTCATGTGTCCCAGAAGACACCGGATCATTCACAAAGCGCAGCACATGCGCAGTGGGCACCCGGCTGTCACAGAAGCCAGCGCGGGAAGACTGTGCAGCGCTGGAGCGAGGAACAGGTAAGGCCCTGCAGGAGAGAACAGCTGAGCGGCCGGCCCGATATTCTGACATGGTGTCGGCAGAAATACCGGACCGGCTGCTTTATATTCGCTCCATAAGACGCACTGACATTTTCCCCCCTTTTTTTGGGGGAAAAAAGTGCGTCTTATGGAGCGAAAAATACGGTATGTCTGGCCATGGCAGCAGAGAACACGGGCATATGATGAATCGGGTCTATGGACCAATACAACCACAATTCATTTTTTTTTGTAATTCTCATGTTGAGGGTTAGGCCCAAAAAAACTTTAAATTCGGAAACCATAATAGGTTTTCATGCAAATGGTCTGTCAAGGTTTGAGTTTGGGTTGGCGGCAATAAATTGTTGTACATATAAATTGCTTTGATCCACAATCAATGCATACAGATCTTCCATGAAAAACAGCTCCAAAAAATTAAGAGGAGTAGTTAGATTTGCTGTTTCTGCCTGAATCCAGGTTGGGCAGTGAATGGGGGAAGTACAGGTGCTACAAAATTTGTGAGCTGCCAATCAGAATTAGCAAGCACATCTGGAAGGACACTAGGGACTCTATGGGCCTGTGTGTGAATTCTTGGTGGCTGCAGGACACTACTTGTGCTCGCCACCGCACTAGCTTGCACTGCACTTATGGGACTCGTCATGTCACCAAGTGATACTGCAGTGCTGGTATGTATAAGACCAGGATGTACTAGACTGCTGGTGCTCGCCAGTTCACCAAAAGGTAGAGCGACACTAGTACTGGCACTCTGCTGCATATGAGAATCATCATGCAATTGTAACATCTCAGCAACCTGGGAATGGGGTCGGGTATGCCTGACCTTAGCAGGGACCTCTTCTTCATCGTCTGAACTATCTGTCAGTGTGCCGCTGCTGTCTACAGGTTCGTATTCTGAGCCTGATTCTGTCAGTAAGGCTTCACTCTCATCTGACATGTTCAAAATCCTTTTCACTAGAGTACCTTTCGCTGGGCATTTTGGCAACTAAACTTTAGGTACCTAGTGCGACTCATGGGAAAAAGAACACGTGGCTGTCAGGGACTGCTTAAACGCTATGAAAATTTTTTACTGCGACTGCTAACTGAGATCAGACCTGATTCTGCGAACACTGCAGTTTTGTGTGCAATGTATCAAGTGCCAGTGACCTACTGACACTGCACTTGCTGGGGGGAAAGGGGGAGATTAAGGGTAGGGGCTATACGCAGGTGCTGGCACGTGCCGGGGCTTATCCTGCTAACGTTGCATTTTTGGGGACACTATACTAATGTGAACGCTGGTATAGTACTGATCTGATCAAAGATATTGATCCGTTCAGACACTATACTAGCAATGGAGGTTTATTGTGTATGTGAGCATGTTCCTGGCAATCAAGGGGTTAAATGTCATGACTGGTGTAGTGGCGGGCAATCTGATGCTATCTGGGAGCGATGCTAAATGACGCTAATGCTATCTGAAGTCTCCGGTTACACTAATACAGGAAGATCTAAAATGTGGAATGATCGAAACGCATCTGGGTATTTTCTCTCTTTTCTCTGTGGTTTCATATTCTTGTATTAAGAGTTCTCTTGTAAGCACACTGTCAGAGCAATATTCTTTTTAGAAACTATGTATCTAATACTATAATGGAGATGTGTATGTAATAAAGCTGACAAAAATCTCTTTTAACTAAATGTCTCCTTCAATATATGAATGATCCTATTGCTACATTAAGATCCCACTGGGGGTTGTTTGGGTATATATATATGCAGTAAAGCATGCTTGTTATACTCATTGTGGAACGTAAGGGGTTAAATCCCTGCATTGTGTAAAAAGCCTATTTAATCCTGACTTTTCTGATCCTCCCCTTCTTCTAGTGCCCCCCTGTTATCTCCTGATAAGACATATAATGTGGAGACACTCTGCACATGTTCAGTTTGGTGTGTATTGTTAGAAAGGTTTTGTTTTTTCTTGGGAGAGTGCATGTGATCAACACAGGGCCAATCAGTACTGTCCAGAGAGAGGTCAGGGGTTTTGCGTCCTCCTAGAGCAGAAAGAAAACTCCTTCTACAAGCTTTAACCAGTGCTCTGCTGAACACTGATATAAGTCATAAGACTGCTCTAACTGCTGATGAGAAAAGGTATTTAGCAGTTTATGTTCACTAAAATAATTGCTCTTCCATGTTCTGTGTACTGTGGGAAACCAGACAGAGTGAATGCAGGTTCCTGGGTTTAGTAACACTTTAAAGGTACACCCAAGCACTTAAAACCCTCATTCCCAAAAATGTTTGGGCCTGTCCTTCCTCCATATACTAACATGTACGCATGTAAATATACACTTCAGGGGAAAACTTTGCTAGGGATATTATTCACTGTTAACTCTAAACTGATGACCTATAGGGGCTTTTAAAACTTGCATATGGAACACAATCTCATCTTTTATATTTCACAAAAAAAAGGGTAACATATTGGGGTTGTGTGCCCTAATATTAACATTGGTGTACTTTATACTGAAATTTTGTGCTAGATAAACCATTGCTCTAATATCATGTGACATAAAAAATTTGAACTGTGACTTTTTTATTCTTCAGGGTCTGTGCTTTCAGAACATATATAATGTTGGGGTTTGTTTTATGTAGCTTTGGCTTTGTAAGTTGTGTAAAGCTAAATACAAAGGGACAAAGTAAAGCATTTATGCAAAGTACTGTATTTATATACTTATATAGATAATTCATTTGTACAGCAATAAGAATTGGATTATTTGAAAAGAAGAACAGTGACTAAATTGTTAGCACTTCCGCATAGCAGCACTAGGGTCATTTGGTGCAAATCTCAACCACGGCACTACCTGCATGAGTTTCCTCCAGGTACTCCAGTTTCCTCTCAAACCCCAAAGACATGCTGGTAGGTTAATTTGCTCCTGTCTAAATTGGCCCTAGCATGTGTATGCATGAATGTGAGTTAGATTGTATGCCCCTTTAGGGTTAGGGACTGATGTGAATGTACAATATACAGTATGTAAAGTGCTGCATAAATTGATGGTGCTTTATAAGTACCTTTAATAAACAAATACATTTGAAAATTAATACTTTTGAGCTGTGATATTGAGAAAGGTAAGAACGTTACTAGCTCCACTTTGTCCATGTGACAGCATTCGTGGCCTCCTGGTTAGTCCACTTCTGTCACACGGGGCAAGAGAAAGAATCCAAGGCCCCATGTGAGCGTCAAACAGTCAGTTTGGGACTGTTAAGGCTCTCTTTTCTGGACTTTTGGCTGAATGGAGTTGTATGGAGGTGAAGCCACAAGTCATGAAGGATCAGGTTTGACTTAACACCATCAGCAGCAGCAATTTCTGTGCTATGCTTAAGAGTTGTAGTTTCACAAAGCATTACAATGAGGAAGATGTATGATCTAAAGATCGTTAACCGCTTCCCAACCGCCCTATAGCAGAAATACTGCTACAAGGCATCACGGGTGCACAAAAAATCTATATATATATATATATATATATATATATATATATATATATATATATATATATATATATACGTGGTTTTGCATTTCCGGGAAGGGGGCCATTCCTGGCTGTGGCTGTCAATCACCGGGTCCCGGTCAGTGGTTACTCGCTGGTGCCCAATGATTACTGAGGATCTCTGACAGGGAGGAGAACTGTTTTGTTTACTAACAGTTCTCCTCCCTGCAGGAGTGGACTGACCATTTGGAAACTCGGGCACTGGGGTCAGTAGGGGGCCCCATGAGATGCCTCTGGTACCTTTTTCATAGGCTTTTTTGAGTTTGGGCAAGAACACAGGGGCCCCATGATCCCCTATTGCCCGGGGGCCCCATGAGTTTTCAGTCCGCCCTTGCCTCCCTGTCAGCTCGGGCACACTGCTTTGGATGGCTGTGCACAGCCATCCAAAGCAGTGTGATTAAAGTGAAGCACACAGACACGGCCCCCTAGTAAAACACTCCCAGGACGCAGTTAACCCTTTGATCACCCCTCATGTTAACCCCTTCCTGCCAAGTGCCATTAGTACAGTGTCATTGCTTTTTTTTTTAGCACTGATCACTGTATTGGTGTCACTGAGGATGCCAGTGACACCAAGTCAGTTTCCCCCAGTGTTAGAATGTCCTCCGCAATTCTGCAGTCCCGTTATAAGTCACTGATTGCTGCCATTACTAGTACAAAAAAAATCCCAACATATATACCTCCATTTGTAACACTATAACTTTCACGTAAACCAATTAATTCACACGTATTATATGTTACAGGGTGTAACATGTAATGCACAGGTCCCTGCACCCCCCTAGAGTCCCTGTTTTGACAGCTAGCAGGGAGGGGGTGCAGGGGCATCTTCTCCCCTCACTAGCTGTCACAAACTACAAAAAAAGGGCTCCACCCACCTATCCTTGTCCTGTAAATGGGAAAACTACAAGTCCTGAGAGCCTTTGTGACTGTCGTCTTGTACATCTCAATAAACTACCAGAACACTGTTGTTCTCTCTAGCTAGTTAATTGGGCTTACTGTCAGGGTGCAACTGCCTGCCCGTATCGGGCAGACAGATACACAGCCTGCAGAACCATGGAATTACTCCCACCATCTGCTGATCATGGGTGCAATGCTTTACCTGCAAAAAAATATGCATTCATTTTGTTTTTTGTAAACTTTTCCTTTAACCCTGAAATGATTTCTGGCTCTAAGCATGGCAGTTGCAGTGCTACTTAGTGGAGTTTCCATGCACTATGATGCAAAAGAATGAAAATATTGCTAAATTTATAAAGTCAAAACTCTTTGTTGATTAAAGAGGTCAAAATGACCGGACTTGTGAAAGCTAATAGGTCATTGATAACTATCCTTTACAACCGTGGCATTCAGAAAGACATCTGTGAACACTATGTTGACTACAGAAACAAAGACTATTCTGGGGGTTCCACTCCTGTCAGCTAAAAATAGGACAATGGGGGGCATGACGGTTGAGGATTGGAAAAAAAACATTACGTTGTTTGATGAATCTTGATTTCTACTCTGATAAGCAGGTAGCAGGACCAAACTTTAACACACATCCTCAATCCATGGATTCATATTATCTTGTGTCTGCAGGTTGATCTTGTGATGGAATGAGGAATGTTTACCTATTTATATGCTTTGATATTAACAAAGCAATATTTTAATGCCACGGTATACGTGGTACTAGGCAGGTGTACCTAATAACATGGCCACTAAGTGTGTATATAAACTGTCTTGAGTTTAACATTGCCTCTCTATTACATATTTTTATTTTTCTCCTATGATGTTTATTGCTGCACACTCACCACCTGCAGTTAATTTGTCTTTTCCATTTGGACTGTTATTGACTTTCTTATTGTCATTTTGCATTGACCCGCTTGTTTTTAAATACATTTCTTCTGCTAATCAACCACATAATGCGTAACTGTAAACAGCTTTTGCATCTGTCCTCAATTTCTAGATCAGTTTTCTGACAAAGTGTCAGGCAGTAGTTATTTTTATTCTGCCCCGTGACCTTTCCTGATTCTTTCTTTCATTCCCATTTTCTTCCTTTCCAGTTTTATCACGGAAAGAAAGCACAAGCAGACAACGAAAGGCAAATAAACCTGTCATAACATTGACAACTGTCTTATATCACCGTACATTTATCAGTTTCAGATTTTTAGCTTCCTGTTACTATATGTGATCCTACTTAAATTGACACAAAGTGCAGTTACACTCAAATTTGGTTTTGTCAGCACAGTGTATGCCTGTGGGAGGGGAAAGAAAAAGAAATATGGATGCTACAGCTGAACACAGTTGACAAGATTTTTTATTTTCATGATTACTTTTCTGCCGATTTTTCTTTTTTGCCTGCAGGCAAAGGTTGGCATACATGTCAAGAGAATGTTCTCCAGCTGCGGCCTGCAGTATAGAGAATTGTATACACCAGAGGGCTCATGGGACCCTAGGCAGATTATTATGGTAATATCAGATACTGCTGTCCTCTCCCTCCCACAGCTGGGCTACCTCTCTCATTGTAAGTATTGAAGCAATATGTTTTGCAAATTATATGTTGCAAGCATCAGGGACACAGTAAAATAAAGAGAAAACAGTAACTGCACAAAATATTGCATCCAATATAGTTTTGTTTCCTTTTGATGATCAAAATAAATTAAGAATTTTTAATTAAATGAAGATCACATGTTGAAGATAGCTAAAATGTAAAGAGCTGCATCTAGTGTATTGTTAAATGTATATGGCAATATTGATTGGATACCAAGGCAATATATTCATACATTAAAATTATTGCATGCTTGTATTGTGGGTAACATACTGTATACATTGGCTTGTTTTGGATTAGGGCTTTTCTTCATGATTTTTTATTTAGATGTTGATTCTGTATATTCTGTAAACTTTTGCCCAGAACAGACTGCACATGCCTTTACGCCTTTAAAATTAAAGCTCACACTCAGAAGAGTGATGGACAGCCTATAGATTGTTTGCTATTTCCTTTGTCCTTTAAGACTTATTATTTACAGTTTAAAGTTGTTCCTCTGAAGAAAATGATTATGATTTTTGAAAAATCAGTCTTTTATGTTCTGGTAAAACATGTTACCTAAACTAAGTAACCAAACATGGTGTATTGCATAACAGCACTGTTAAATGCAATACAAGAAGAAACATCCTTGAAGTCCCAATCTACAAACACCTATAGTAAGCTTGGGGAGTCTCCGGTACAGTATCTAAACATCAAAAATTGCCATAAAAGCCTGGTAAACTCAATCCCAGTATGCGTAAACATAATGTACTTCTTCTACTCAGACAGCCCAACACTCCAAAACAGACTAAAACTGTTTTGGCCAAAACAGGACAAAAGACAGAATAAAAACATAGAATCATGGCCAGCCCCCCATCTTAATTTCTTATTGTTAGAAAAACCTGCATGCATGTGTACATATATTATAAATCTCTGTAAGCAAAAATATAGTTGTATGCTATTGTATGAATGTATCAATACAAGGCTGGGACCAGCTTATATATACACTAACCAACACCCCTCAGGATGTTATATTCGTTCCAAATGTTCAACAATGCTCTCTGTGTAATCTGTATTGCTCGATAAGAATGTCAACTTGAATATACAGGCAGGAGACTTTTATCCACTTGTGTTTTGATG